TGGTGCCGATTGCCCCTTGCCCTGTCACTGGACACCACTGAGAAGAGTTTTTGGTCCCATCCTTCTGACAGCCACTCTTCAGATATTTACAGGCATTTCTAAGGTCCCCTCGCAGCCTTCTCTTCTTCAGGCTGAACAAGCCCAGTTCCCTCAACCTCTCCTCGTAGGGGAGATGCTCCAGTCCCCTCACCATCCTCGTAGCCCTCCGCTGGACTCTCTCCAGTAGCTCTTCATCTTTCTTGAACTGGGGAGCGCAGAACTGGACACAGTACTCCAGATGAGGCTCACCCCCATGGCTGGTTCTGCCTGTTCAACTTTCTTGTGGGTTGTGGTCAGGATACCCTCAGATGTGTTGAGGACATCAGACAGGGCCTGGGCCTGTAGTTTATGCTTGCTCCGAAGATGGCATTGCACTGCCTGCCAGGGTCTGGGCCAGTGGTCTCAGCTTAGAGGACCTGGGTGGCAAGACTTAAGGAAGAAAGGTCAAGGGAGGGAGCTGTCAGCCCTTGTGAGCAGCTTGCTCTCACTTTAAGGTCTCTCTTGTAGCCCTGTCCCCAAGGACCCTGCTTCCCAACTGCAAGTAGCTTTAGCTGAGTTGGCCTGCTCATGCTGATCCCATTACCTGGATAGTGCCACAGATTGAGGGGATGCCTTGGTTTGGAGGGCGAGTGGCAGTGGTGTATCTGGGGCCTTCTTTCGCCAGTCTTCCTTCCTGCATCAATGGAGAAAGACAGAAGTGCCATGACACCCAGCAGAGGAAGACAGGGGATTCACGCAGCTCCTCGTCCTCCGGCCGGGGCTTCCCGGCGTTGGCCCAGAGGAGGGTCATGTACCGCCCGGCCAGGATGGCACCCAGCTTCTCCTCCAGCTGCCCCTGCATGGAGAACCAGTCCTCCCAGCCCTCCACGTCCCAGGTGGGTTTTGTCCAGGTCTCCGTGGGGAAGGGGATGTCTCCTGGAGTTAGGGGTAGGGAGGAGCGTTGGGGGTCACAGCGGTGGTCCCACAGCCCAGGCTGCCTGTCCCACCTGGGCTGCGGGGACGCTGGGCCCAGCTGGGGGGGCTGGAGCTGGGAGGAGGGACCCCCACGTCCCTCCGTGGGAGCCGTGCGGCCTGGGGTGGGGGTGTCAGGCGGGTGGGGGACAACGCAGGGTGGGAGCAGCGTTCCCTGCCCCACCTGTGAAGATGAGAC